TCAACATCAAAGCAGCAGTCTGATACTAGATTGAAGATCCAAAAAGAAGATAGCACTTTGTATGAGACTTCAGTTCAGCAGACAACAGAGCAACACCAGCAAAGAGATGAAGAGATCATTTCACAACTTGATTTGAGAAGAAAATTAGAACACTCTAGTGAAATAGCAGGAATTCATGACAGCAACAACAAAAGGATCTCCATTTTACAATCCGAAACTGGAAGGAAGAAACAGGAAGACAGTTCAAGTTTAGTTCCCACCTCTTTCCCAGAGTCAGAACAGCACTTCCAGACAGATAAAAAATCTCATAGGAGAATCGAAATGAGGAATGAACCACAAGATGAATGGAGTGTGTCAGTTTTCCATGCTAAGGATACTGAAATGGTTACCAGTTCTCAAAGTACTTCTGTAGAAGGAATGATTGAACAAGAAAGTAAGTTGAAACCAGCTGTCAGACTGATTGAAGAAACCAAAGAAAGACATAATGAAGCTAATGAAGCAGTCAAGCAAATTCAGTCGAGAAGAGTGGCCCAGAAGAAGCCTGATAGCCCATCAACTTCTCAGGAAAAAGCTAAAGAGTCTTCTGGTTTTGAAGCATCTAGGATTTTGATTTCCCAATCGAGAAAAGAAAACATCGATGTGGATGAGATGAAGAAGAGAAGCACACAGGTGATTTTGGTGCCTCCTCCATCCCAATTGTTAGCTAGAGGTTCACGGGATGAAGATCCAACAACAAGAATTGTGAACCAAGGGATTTCAGGTGAAACTTCAGATGGTGGCTCCAATGCCTCATATATGCATTCAAGTGTTAGAACTACAGCTCTGCACATTAACCCACCAGCAAGAGCAAGAATGATTGAGGCTTACAGGGAGTCTTTAAATCTCACTACCCATGAAGATTCTCTAGGTTCTGCTCATCGTTTAGAGGAATCTTCTACACATTTCGTTGGGGATTTCATTGAGAAGGCAAGGCATGAGATCTCAACATCTGAAACAACGTTTGCACATCAAGATGATGAGCATGCACAAGACAGTTCTGGTAAATATGAGAGTGAAGACCCTAAGACACAGGGGCATGACTCAAGGCAGTCATCTCAAGGCTCTGGAGCTAAGGGCCCTTCTGATGAAATGTGGGATGTAACAGAAACATCTGTTCAGGAACCTACTGAGGTGGAAGTTCCAGAGGGCAACTCAACAGGTGGGAATGCTGTTGTCAAGAGAAGTGGCAGGTCCTTGTGGACTTTTATGGCAGATATTGTACGTCTGCAATGGGTTTCACATTCACAAACCCCTAGTTCAGCTGCAAGGTCTGGGGGAAGGACTTCACCCATTGAGTCTACTGGCAGTGAGCCATGGTTCTCCAGCCATGAACAAGATGACAACACTGTAGACACTCTGAGAAGAAAGAGCAGTGGTGTGGCTCAAGGGGCCACATCTTTTCAGTCAGAAACAGGAAAAACTTCACTTCAAGGTCAAGTAGAATTGTCTGACACAATGAGGTCAAGAGACAAAATAAGATTGCCAGAAGAGAGTCTTAGGTCATCTTCAAATAAATTAGAGATTGTGTCTGCATCAGAACGTATTTCCTTGTCTTCCACAAATGAAAATCAAGATGGAGATCACTTTCAGATCACCCCTGCAGGCAGAGAGGAAGCAGAGTCATCCTTACCTCTACCACCAAGAAGCATGAGATCACCTGTGGTAGAAGAAATTTCAGAAGGGCCAACACTAGTTGTAGCATCAGGGTCTGAGGTGAAAAGTGGAGATTTAAAACAAAGGAAGCTACAACGGTCAAAGCAAGTATTGAAAGATCGATTTGATGAATGGGAAGAAGCATATAAACTTGAAAGTGAGCAGCGAAAAATGGATGAAATATTTATGAGAGAAGCATTGCTGGAAGCCAACAAAGCTGCTGATACTTGGGAGGTGCCTGTTGGTGCTGTACTGGTGCAGCATGGGAAGATTATAGCTCGGGGATGCAACTTGTGAGTTTTTTAATTGATATGTATGTTGTTTGATTGGTTGTCTTGCCTCCTACATTATTTATATGAGGGTAAATGTTTCAGGGTGGAGGAATTACGGGATTCCACTGCCCATGCAGAAATGATATGTATCCGAGAAGCTTCAAACATATTGCACTCATGGAGGCTTGCGGTAATTTCTCTATTTTCAGTTTTATTTCTATTTCATTGGTGTTTTGTATATTTTATTGCTTATGGTATCACTCTCTCTTCTAGTTCTTCAGAAGTCTAATCACTAATGGCATACCCTATTTATGGAGATGCCAGCATCTTTAAAGATGAGATTTCTAATGGGATCTTAGTTTTCACAAAAAGAATTATTTTCTATATCAACTGCAGTTGGTTATATTGTGGCCCATCCTTGGCATAATTTCATTACCCAGAAAGAAACCAAGAATTTAAAACTAGTGCTCCTTGTAGCCTTGAAATACCTGTGGAAATTTTAACTTCTTTTTCAAGAAAGGTTGAAATTGGCAATGGTAAAGATACAGGAGCGAAAAGAATGAATGGTGGGTCCTTATTTGTCTGATCTGGCAATGATGGGAAAACATCTAAAAATAATTGATGTACAGATGATTGGTTATGTTATTACTATTAAGTTGCAGGTGTAATTTACAGTCCTGCTCATTTTCTCTCTCTGGCAGCATGATCAATAGTATTACTGTCTCATTCAAAGACCATGGTAAAAAATGCTTTGGATTTTGTCTGTTGCCTGCTATCATTATTGTGACTTCTCTAGTTTGCTAACCATATTTCTCATAAGGATAAATTTAAATGATTGGGGTTCATATTTTACTAACCATTAAAACTTTAATTATAATAATAGATCAATAGCTGAGAATCTTTTTAACTTAGTCCCTAATTATTAGTTCTTTATATTGGTTTTACCAGTGCTCATAATTATAGTTTTACTATCACCACCTTATTGTAACTTTGTTTTTTCTCCTCTCAGGGTACGACACTTTATGTGACACTTGAACCATGTCCAATGTGTGCTGGGGCAATACTTCAAGCAAGGATTGACACCCTTGTGTGGGGAGCCCCCAATAAACTTCTTGGAGCTGATGGCAGCTGGATTAGGTAAGCCAGTTCTTTGCTTATAATGTTAATTTCGGGAAAACAAGATATGCATGAAACTTATTTTAATTTTCTGTTTCATGTTTAAAGAAGAACGGTGAATAAAGCAAAGTATAAATGTGAATCTCTGCTTTTGTTGCATGTGCAACATAACACAGTAACATTGCTGCTGACTGGCCCATTTCTCAGAATAATTTGGCAATAGTAACTCTATTCATTAGCTAAAATCAAAAAAAGTTGCTGCAATAATAGTGTGCACGATCTGTGTTTATATTTATTGTGATATATTTTTGATGGGTGGGAACCCTGGTCTTTATACATTGATCTGCTCAGTGGAAGCAATACGCTCAAATGCAGTTCACCCTCCTTTTTTTTTGTCTTATTATTACCATTTTGCAGACTCTTTCCTGATGGTGGCGAGCAAGGAAATGGTGCAGAACAATCAGACAAGCCGCCAGCTCCGGTCCATCCATTCCATCCGAAAATGACTATAAGACGAGGGGTATTGGCAACAGAATGTGCAGATGTAATGCGGCAATTCTTCCAGCTTAGAAGAAGGAAGAAGGTGAAGGAAGAGGAAGATGACCCACCTCCCCCTCCATCATGTCTTCCCATTTCAAATCATCCATCAAAAGTCCTTACTAAGGTGCAAGATATTTTCCACATGACATTCTGTTTGTAAAGGTTGTAGAATCTATTTCCTCAATCAAACTAATAAGAGTATCTAAGAAACCATAGCCTTCAATGTAGTTATATATCATCATGTGTTTAGAAAATCTGGAACTTTCTAGCTGTGTGTTGATATTTCAGGCTTGGAAGAAGTGACCACCATGATCAAGGCTCAATGAGTCAATGAGTCAATGAGTTTGTTCTTTCAATTTTCGTTCTGATAGACAAAAATTATTGCACCCATTTTTGTAACAACTGATCGATATTTATGAATTATACATTAATTGAATTTATACCTTGAGAGTCAACTTTTGTTGCATGGTGCACCATGACACATCCATCAAGTCTGTTGGTGCAACAATGCCCAGCTTGGCAAAATAAATTCTTCTTGCATTTTGTTTATTTTTCTTGACGTTAAATCCTACCTGACATTGAAAATTTAACAGGTGGTTTGATGCTTCTGACCAATAAAATATGCAATAGCTGACAATAACTTGTTCGGCAGCTGGATTTTTTATTGATCAAAGACGGGCATATCTAGGTGAAAATGAAGGGCAACCAACAAGTTTGTTCCTCACATTGCTTTTCTCCTTATGCTTGATGGCACTGGTAACCCAATTCTTGGGCTGCTTATTCTCGAGGGTTAGGTGTTTTATTTAGAAATTAGAACAAATTTCAATCTCGTTGCTCTCATTTCACCAAATGCAGGTTTCTAGATGGCTAAATTTTAGACTTGTAGCGTACAATTAAAAGGAGCAAGGGGTCTTTAACGGCAATACTTTGCCAGCAAGAATTTCCAGCTTCTGAGGGCCATTTTAGAAGCTTAAGTTGGCACCAGGCCTTGAAGGCCAGTTGGTAGGTGCATAAATTGCCTAAGGTTTGGATCACAGCAATGCTGTGCTAAAATCCCCCCTTCCCTCCCCCAAATTGTAACCGTTCCCCCCCCCCCCCCCAAAAAAAAAAAAAAGGAGCTTATGCTGGTCCCACTACCTCCTGACTCATTCAACATAACATAGGCAATAATTTCTCTTAACAGCCTTGCAAGGAATCATTGGCAGGAGGGACGTCCATTCAAGAAGACAACGTTTCCCCCTCCACCTCTCACCAATCAATTTTTTTGCTCTCCTTTGTATATAACCACCTATTATTCCCTTCATCCCCACCTCACCAAAATGGCTTCAATGTGGACTTCTATTTTAGTTTGCCTCTGTTTTCAACTAGCCATTACAAATGCACAAGCACCGGCGGCTTCACCTTCCACTTTGCCAACCACCACACCGTCAACTTCAACTACTGCACCACCACCTGTGACCGCCACAACTGCACCAACACAGGCACCTGTCACTGCAACTACACCCCCACCTGCAACAACTCCTACATCTTCACCAGCTCCAAAAGTTGCACCCGATACAAGCCCATCAGTCCCACCCCCTCAAGTTCCACCACCACAGCCACCACAAACTGCTCCAATCACGGCTCCAATACAACCACCGACATTGCCACCCACTCCTACTTCATCACCACCACAGGTACCTCCTGCACCAGCCCAAGCACCGCCAGCACCAGCACCGCCACCAGCCAAGGAAGCACCAGTACCTGCACCTGCAAGTGCACCACAAACACCAGCACCAGTTACTTTGCCACCAGCTCCAGCATCTGCACCAATTACTTTGCCACCAGCTCCAGCGCCAGCTCCCAGCAAGCACAAGAAGAGAAGGCAGAGACACAAGCACAAGAAGCACCATGCACCAGCTCCAGCACCAACTGTCCCAAGCCCCCCGCTGCCCCCTGCAGTACTAGATACAGAAGACACACCAGCACCTTCACCAAGTCTTGATTTGGTAAGATTGTTTAAATCATAATCCAAAAGATAATGTTGCTTCTCATTTCTTTAAATCAAATGAACCTAACTCAATATCACCAATTTTCTGCATTACAGAATGGAGGAGATTCACTGCTTGCAAGAGCAAGGTCTAGCATTTGGGCAAGCTCTGGATTAGCTATTGCCATTTTGCTCACAGTGTCAGGCTACAATTTCTAGAGATCTTACAAGAGCCATGGAACAATTTTCATAATTCAAGAAGATTATTTCCTTTGTACAACATAAGATCAACTAAAAATTCATATAGATAGATAGATATTAATAATAAAAAGGATGCAGAATCCAAAATTTGTCGTCATTTTTTGTCTATTCTTTCCAACTGTCACTGATGCTTGAACAATCAGATGAGGATAAATTTGATTCAAAACCATCATTGCATGCCTATCTAAGAGAAAATCTGAGTAATATATTCATCATTCCTTGTCAGGCTTCATCTGTATACACTTCCTCCTGTAAGTCATACTCAACCACAATTCCAAGATTGTCAACTAATTTGTGATACTGCTCACATCCTGCACACTGAAAATAAACAGATTGAATTTTTTATGAAAAAATTATGGATAATTGTTCAAGCATATCCAATATGTGTGGCATTTCAAAGCACTAATACAAAAGGATCTCTGATCAGTAAGCAAAACCTCAAAATCAGATTTTCAGCTGCGCCAGTGTCCTTTTTTCATATTAAAAAGCCAACGTGTTGGCTAAAATTTTGTAGTATCATATTATATACTTGTTATCCATGTTAGTGAGTCAAAACTCAGAAGATTTTATTGCACTATAAGTTGTCACAAATTCTCTCCAGCAAATGAATGTAAGTTCAAATCCTGTGCTTCAATGTTACTGATGTACCTAAACAGATTGCTCTGATAGCAATCAAGCAATTTTTTTTTTTTCTTTCTTGGGATGATGCTGATGATACTAATCAAGCATTGCTAGCTAAACAAAGGGTAGACCATGCCTATTCTGCAGCTTGAAAGATAAAGGTTCTACATTACAGATGTACCAAACATAAAAATCAATTCAAACTTAAGAAGTGCAGACAAATTTTCAAGTATCCTCTGATGTCAGAAATTATAGAGAAAGACCTATAAGACCAATAAAACATTCATGGTAAACATATCACGACCATTATGAATATTTAACATCTCTTCTATTCATCCCAAAAACAAAAAAAGAAAAGAAAAGAATATATATACCTGTACATAGACAACACCACGTTCATAAGCCAATCGATTTATGAGCCTCTTTGTTCTTTCACCACAATCATCACAAGTAAATTCAACTAACAGACTTCTTCTAGGCAGCTTTATGTCAATAGTCGTATCCTGAGAAGATATCATGCCAAACAAAGCAGAAAAAAAAAAAGGCAAACAGTTATGAATAACAGAATTACACAAATGTATATGTTACTTCTCTACAGACCACCTATCCCAACCAAGAAGAGGAATGTTGGAAATACTTTCTTGATTAGAAATATCCTTTCAAAGGCCAAAAAAGGGGGAAAACCAAGTTCCAAGAAACAATTTCTTTACCATTATCTGCAAAATATGAGCAATATTGAAAAATAAAATAAAATTACATTTTAAGTTTGGGATAATGCACTGAATTGAGTATTTTCTACTATTTGTCGTTGAACGGAAGTATGTTATTTAGCTAACACAAGTACATCCACTCCACCAATGTGTATTCCGCTCCTCAACTTTTGTGAATACCATTGCAAAGTATTATCTGCTAACAAATTGTGATAACCCTGCCAGAAGAATTAAGCCAAAACCACAAAACCAAACATCACATACCCTTTTAGAGTCACTCGATTCTGCTTCCGGGTTTGGTCCAGAATCAGAAACAGAAATCGCCCAAGCCCGATATGCACGCTGTTGCGTCACTGCAGGTGCGTGTGCAAGTTTCAGCCTTTAAAAAAAGAGTAAACCTTTTGTTAGCTTATTATGAATTCAACGAAGCCCGCAGTTGTCAAAATGAAAAATTGAGAGAAAACCAGGAGACGGAAAAGAAAGCAAAGAAAACCCAAGAAAGGGTTTAGGGTTTTCTCCATCACAGACCTGGAGAGCTTGAGAGTGGGATTTGGCTTGGCAACAGCAACTGGCTTGAAGGAATTGGCACAAAGAAGGGAATTAGATGTTTTAAGAGGGGTAATTTTGGAAAAGGAAAGAAAAGTTATGGCGGGAGAAAAGCCGCAAGCAGCCATTGGAGTGTGATGAATTGCAGCAGCAACTGCAAGGTGAGAGTGTGAGACCTTTCGCTCTAAAATTTTAATTTTCATTCTGCTCCCCTAAGCTGCTCCCCTAAGAAAGGCAAAACACTATGTTAAGCCCCCAAACTTAACTCAGATTCTCAATTAAGCTCTTAAGCCTATATTGAAGCACAAAAGCCCCTAAACTTAATAATCTAGGCAATTTAACTCTCTTTCTTTACCGCGAACTTAATGTCTATTTGTATTTTGCTTGTGTGGATAAAGTATCAACATGTCATTACCTAACTCAGATTTTCAATTAAGCTCTTAAGTTTTTATTGAAACAAATAAGTCTCTAAACTTGATAATTTAAACAATTTAACTTTCTTTTTTTACGATGAACTTAATACTTGTTTGTATTTTGCTTGTGTGGATAAGAAATTGACATGTCATTACTTGTGTGATGAGTATTGATTTTGTCCATACAAATAAATAAGCTATAAACGAGGTGTCAAGTACACTGTTGGAAAAGGATTTGCCTAAATCGCCAAGCTCAAAAACTTATATGTTTCAATAAAAATCTAAACGTTTAATCAAGAATGTGTAATAAGTTAAGAGGCTTAATGTAGGGTTTTGCCTCCAAGAAAGAGCTTATGAAAAATTGTTGATCTTTTCTAAATTTTAATTAAAAGCCTCAAATTTATAAATCTTTCATTTTTACCCTTTTCTTCCTCTTGTTACTGATCATATATAGCATAGGAGCCAAATTCATTCTTCAGTTGTTTGAATCCCTGACAACTGCATATACGATCTGCTTCTTCAAACTTCCAGTCACTATAACAGTGATTTATACAACAACTTCAACATGATTTTGTTTTGGTTCTGCGGAAATGACACAAAAAATTTACTCTCTCCATGGACACATTTTTACAAGTCAATCAAACAGCGAAAGGAGAAAACTGGAAAGGATTGAAAATGACATTGAACACGTTAGCTTGATATTAACACAGATGCACTTTACATTAATTTCTTTTCATTGTTGAAGAAAAATCTGTATACAATTATAAACCATTTTCCAATGTCCTGGAAGAAAATTGCAAGCGAGTTGATGTATTGAACAAGGATAGTTAGGTTCTTCCTGAAAAAAATTGTTTCTAATGGAAGAATATGCTTGACTTCGAATCGAATTCTGTTAGTAACCTTCCTTCTAATTAGCATCATTAGTCTTACACTCTTACTCATCAACTTCATCAAAGGGAAGTGGAACAGTCACCACTGCTCTGAATTTTCCAGCATTATTTAGATGCTCATTCTCTAACCTGGACCGTTGAAACATTTGCTTTATTAGAGCCAGTGAAAATACGAATTCGCAAGCTGATTTGAACAGGTAGAGATAGCAATAGGTGAATAAATGCAAGCATCCATTTTTACCTGTAGAAATTCCATTGTCCTCTTCTAATGACTTCAAGGGCAGCCAAAAACAGTCCAGTTACTCTGTAGTCAACATCTTCAAAGTTTGAATGGAGAATTGTTTGGAGCCAAGCAAACCTGAGAATCAGGTTCAATCCCTGCATGTAATACAAAAATTAGTTTTCAGAAACCAGATTTTGATTAATGAAGACCTATCAGGAAACAAATTCTGTCTATGATGTGTGCCTAATTTCAGACAATGCCTGCTACATTGTTCTCATTTCTCTCTATCATGAGTTGGAATCCCTTTATTATTATTATTATTATTATTATTTTTTCCTTTTGAAATGGAATTACCAACACTGAACATTAAGAATATGTTCATTCTCCCCCATGACTACCAATCCTGAATTCTAGCTAATCCATAACACCCAAATTGGTAGTCCAATCACAATCATGGAAGAGGTGCTTCTGTCCATGGATTCTGATATTGACTCACTACTTCTGAAATGTTAGATTTTGTCTACTGATTTTTCTCTACTGAAGGAAATGAGAGTAGAGGGAGAAGAGGACATGTCATTTACCATGGAGAAGTAGTAAATGGTCTTTTGACGAAGCATTAATTCATTCCTTAGCCAGGGATTTTTGGAATTCACTTTAAGCAAACCCCAGTCCTTTACAAAGTCCCAATATAATTGGTACACAGTTGCAGCAGTTGAGATCATCACAAGAAGACACAGCCATCCCACACTTTTTTCTTTCTCATAGGCCACTTTGGCCCCAGCTGCTAGCATTGCGGATACATATTTACCCAGATTCACAAGGTGGCTTGTCTGCCCTTCATCAAACCACCTCCTAGCACACTGCAATTGAAACCAAGCCAAATCTTCATCAGATATATACAACTTCAACAGGATCTATGTTAAACTATGAAACCTTAAATGAATATCGAAAAGAAAGAAATACAAAAAAATTATAAAAAAAGGAAGAAGTAGAGTAAAACCCTACCTGCATGGCTCTCCAGTAATAGGGCAGAAATGATACTGCATAAGCAAGGTCTCTATAATGCCCAGCTCTCTTGCAATATCCATAATCCTGAGTTTTGTAGCTTCCTGTTAGGTAATAACAAGCAACAAACTCAAGGTTTCTGAGCATAGGTACCTGTTCAATTATAAGGGAATTTATCAGTTGAATTCTTGCATCTTTTCTTGTAGTTTTCTATCCTTTCAAAGAAGAAAATCATAATTAAACAGTAATTGTTGTCTACCTGACTAGATAGTTGATCTGCCATAAAGAAGTCTAGCATCACAACCTGCAGAAGTAAATAACTGCAATTTGTAAGGAATTTTATATTGTCATATTGTTCTTTAAATATAATAACATGGAAAGATAGTACAGTACCTTGTAGAAAGGAGAAAAAATTATGTTCCTTATGACACAGATGAAGCGGTATCTACTTGATCGGTAGAAGATGTTGAAGGGGCACACAAGCAACAATAAGAAGACCTGCAGATGCACAAGGGTGTTAACGAAGGTTCTTGTCTTTCTTATTTTTCTGTCTTAATTGCTATGAGGTAAGATTAATGATGTACCAGCAACAGAAGGCCCGGGATTGCCTTAACCTTGGCATATGAATAGCCATTTGTAAGCAGAGACAAATGAATGAACATAACTCCTATAACTGCTGTCATTGCAGCTGTACAAGTTAAGAACACATCTCTGTACTTAAGCTCGTTGGTGGGGGTTAACTCAAGAATGAAACTGTGATTTATACGAGCCTTTCTCCACATGAAAATGTTGCAGCCATACAGAAAGAAATGTAGGAACAACAGGCTGAACATGCTGCAACAAGAAAATGCATTCTAATGAGCTGTTTTTTTTTTTTTTTTTTGAAAAATTATAGGAATTTTAAGAAACATGTTAAAATATGGTCCAGTCATGAAATTTGTGGATACTTGCCTAAAGACAGGATAGACAGTTTCCATATAGAGTGTATCCGGTTGTCTTTTATACATCCTGGTTATATGAGCCATAATAATGTATCCAGCAAGAAGGGCAATGAAGAATCCAGTGAAGAGCCCTGGTTAAATTTTTGAAAACATGAGTTAGTTCTTATTCAACTGTGATTAATATCAGCCTCTGGGCTTTAACCTAAGGTAGTCTGGTATAAGTTTTTGTTTCACATGACACACTGCATATAAAATAAACTGTGACATTATTGACAGAGAAAGGTGCTTATCAACATCTGCTTTACTTGGGATGTTTGATTTCAAAATATGAAAAGAAAACGGTAGTTGGAAATCATTTGGGGGCTAGTTTTAGTGTAAAATATACTTGTCTGCCTCATATTTAGAAGTGTCCATTGAAGGGTCAACATAGCTTGGTAAGGAAACTAGTTAGTGCTGTTGTTTTTGGGTATTTTATATGCTGCTTAAAGGTTCATGTGGGTACGGTCAGTTTTGTGTGGAGCAAGATTATGGTCTAGTATGGGACCTATGCTTTATTTACCACCTGAAAAAAGTGAACTTGCAACTGCCCTTGATTTTAAAAGTCTAGTGCCCCAATGTTTCCATGCTTTTTCTTCTTTAAAATCTATGTTTTTGCAAAGTGAATTGGCTCAGGGGTTTCCACTAAAAGGTTTGATTAAAGCAAACGTCACTTAAAAATACAGTGCTGGAATTTTAGTGCTTTTGGATCCTGATTTTTGCAGCGAACTTACCTATGAAGAAGGTTGCAGCATGTGAATCTTTGTGCTGCTGAGGTTTGAGATACTTCATGGCCTTTCTTCGATCATCCTCAGCAAAATGTTTGATAAAAAGCTTCTCAACTTCATCTGCTAAATTCATTACCTGTCATTTCCAAGACTAATAAGCAAAACTTTACTGGTGTTTCAAAGCTGTACTGCGATTCAAGTGTGAGAGAAGCATATGCGAGTTTTATTTTAATTATTTTTAGTTGTAATATCTAAGACACCACAGACATAAATTACAGGTTGTCAATGGCCACTTGTCATTGTTGGCGAGTATTTCAGATAAAAGGATAGCTAGTGGAAAACATCTAACATCGATTCAACTGTTTTCTGTAACATACCTATCATTAACCTATCAATGACAGAACTAGATGTTTTTACTAGGTTGCTTTTTCAGTCTTTTACCTTGTCTGAGCTGTTGAAGTACGAACTCTCCGCTACTTTAAGGTAAATGGAAAGAACTTGTTTCCCCGTAACCTGAAATTGCAGAGAAATTTAAAGACCTTTCTTATTTATCTGTAAGTTACATAAAAACCATAATGCAAGGCTTCAAAACTTGAAATTTTCTTACTTTATCAAACTTCTTCAGAATTTTCATGAAAGCAAGCATGTTTAAGTGCCTAGAAAAACAGATTTACATTGATCAAGTAAGACTTTCAAAGCTAAATTGGAATTTGTAATTATTAATCTTTCAAAGTTAGAGAATTTTATACCTGTAGGTTTTGAGATAGCTCAATCCTTTATACAACTCAACAAAAGCTCCTCTTATCATCTTCTCTGCATGACGCACCTTTGTTTTGTTGAAATTTAGATTCCCTCCTTCAGGGTCACATTTCCTCGAGGACTGATTTACTAAATCTTCCCAAATCAAGTAACTGATAGCCGAGAAGGTACGTGATGGTGTTGTTAAAGGAATATTTATCCTCAAGTTCTTCCCCTGGATATTGGAAGCATGACTCGATAGCGACTTTAATTTGCTATCCTCTTTTTTCAATCTTATTGATTTCTCCATCTCATCGGACCTTGGGGAGTCTGATAATGGCAGTTCATATGTGTTGCTGTTGTCTTGCAGTTGGTTATGTTCTGTTCTGTCCTTAACAGAGTCCTCTGTTTCCAATGAAAACATAGATATGTCAATGGCACATTCAACCATTGTTTTGAAAACCAGACCGGACCGGCACCTGGTAGTAAAAATGGGTCGAGTAAGTATCTAAAACCCTTAGAGGATTAAATCACTTAAAACTACTCAAATCAGTAAGCCTTGGTAGTAGAAATGAGTCAAGTGAGTATCTAAAACCCTTTAGGGGATTAAACCACTCAAAATCACTCAAACCAATAAAAACTGATAAACCATTCAATCGATTGGGCCAACTTTTTAGTCAAAATTTGCAAGTTCTGTTCTGGGTTTCGAGTGCCACACCTTAGGAGACTGTAGCAAACCATTTACTGCAGAGCAACAACCCCTTTATGAAATGAGTTGCAAAGAATATATTTAAAGAATATTATAAAGATTTCAAAGGAAAAACTTAAGAGATCAACAATCCCTTCGGGACATGAGTTGCAAAGAATATATTTTAAAGAATATTATAAAGATTTCATAGGAAAAACTCAAGAGACTCCCATGAGATTCAAACACTTGCTCTCTTGTATGTTTAAAATTACTTTTGCCACTTGGTTTGAACCAAGTTTGTTGATTTTTAATGCCTTAAAGATATATTTATTATAATAGAATTACATAAATTGAATAAATTTGGCACATTTGAGACTTGAACTCAAGTTCTATTTAAGATAGATAAGAGTTGCTAGAGTCACTTCTGATTCATTAAAATCAATTGCATGATATTATGTTTAATATATATCTTTGAAATTTAATCTATCTAGTTTTTTTATTGATTAAACCAATTTAACTGTTAAAACTATGAACTAAAGTCAAAATAATTTGATCTTTGGTTTGGTTTTGAAGACATTGCATTCAACATTATTAAACACAATTGATAAAATACTAGTTATGCTTAAAAATACACATCCCCTAAGACTATTTTCATGAACCTAGTCATGTTAAAAGTTAGGTTAAATGTTAATTATGGTCCTTTAACTTTAATGTTTTCCATAATCTTTGTCTTTTAACTTTTTTATATACTTTTTTGATCCCTTAATTATAAAAAAAAATACATTTTTTAATCCTTTCATTAGTTAACTTGTTAAATTTATCTAAATATATATATTTTTATCCCTTAACTTATAATATATATACATTTTTAATCCCTCAACTTTTAGTATATGTATATTTTTTGTTCCTCAACTTTAAGTTGAGGGAACTAAAAGGTGTATATTTGGATACGTTTAACAAACTAACTGATGAAATGACTAAAAAAAGTACATTTTTAATAAATGAGGGCTAAAAAAGTACATAAAAAATTAAGGGATGAAAATTATAAAAAACTTTAAAGTTGAGGGACCAATATTGACAGTTAACCTAAAAGTTAAAACATCCTTGGAGTTTGGCATAGCATGTCAAGCTTGAAATTTTGAGTTTTGCTATCACTTTAGACAGAAAAAGGATCATTTACCACATGAAATTGTGCAAGAAATAGAAGCATCCTCATTGAAGTCCTGAGGAGAAACTCCTTTGCTACTCTTTTGCTTGAGGGCAGTTTTGAGCTCGATGAGAATCTCCATCTGTTTCTTCAAGGACTCCGCTCTGTACAAAAATTCTTTCTCCTTTGTTTTGTAAAACCAGTTCACTTTGTTCAGCTGCATGTCCAAACATTGGAAGAATTCATTGGCAGCATTAGTATCTGAGAATTGCTCCAGCAATTCTGTCTCATACACATCGTTTTTGCCAGCTGAAGATGCAAGCGTTCTATGAACCTGTCCATAATCATACATGCCAAAGAGATTATCATTATAGAAAAATGCACGCACAAATGGTAATAGGGTCTTTAGGGGAAGGAGTAAGTACATGAATTGCTCCATGGTCCGTATTTTTTTGGCAAAAAGAAGAGAGCTTCTCTTGTAAGGATAAGATGGTACTAACTAAAGAAGTATGTTGTTTTTTGGGAGGTGCTGGTGTCTCGTTAAGGGGATGGAATTTCTTGAGGTCCTTCTTCAGTTGCCAATAATCGACAAAGGCCTCTTTCCATTCAGGAACAAGCTGCCCCTCGAACTGCTTGGAAAACTTTACCATCTTCGTTCTCTCTTGTCCAAAGCCTTCTGAGAGGGAAGAGATTGGTGGTTGCTGACAATGTGATAGTAGCCTTGTGAGTGATCAATGGAACCACCTAATGACATTAAATATGGGGAGGTGAAGGAATATCACTATGCCACGCGTGGGCATTGAAAGCAATTATCTCTTTATACTATCACCTTTGGACCATCCTATGCTTCCCCCCCTTGAAAGAGACAATGGCCAGATTCTCCCAAAAAAAAAAAAAAAACACCAAAACTCTACCGGATCTGATCACTCCTTCTCCAACATGTTCTCATGGGAGATTTTGATAGATATAGGGGAAATTTATAGTTGATGGAAATGGGCCATAACCTGAATTAAAAACAGTATTCCTCTTCAAGGCATAAGTTATTCTTTTGCATTTTCAACATTAAAAAAACGTGACTGCATTCATGGATTGTATATTTGTTAATGGTGATGTTAATTAAGATATTAAATTTGTTGTTTGATGGGATGGTTAGCTGAAGTTGAGTCTCTTTTAGGAGAACAACTAATCAAATTGATCGGGGCAGGCCAAAAAGAATACCAAATTGGGCATGTGGTATGAAAATTTTGAATGTGAGTTTTAATACAAAAGTTGTAGTCAATTTAAAAGTAATTGATAATAAGTAGAGTAATTTTCTTTATATTTAATTCATATACTTATTTATTATGTATGTGAGATTTTTCAACTCAAAAAGTCCCCACATGTAGGTTCATTATGAATATTAGGTCCGCTATGCATATTAAGTTCTATCACATGACTTAACATAAGCCTTAACTTTGAGTTATGTTGGGTGGATTAACAATGGGAGGACTACTATTCCTATTTTCAATTGGTTTTAGATTGGACTCAAAGTTTGTGTTGAACTCCACAAGCACAATTTTCATATGTGGATCCATTTGGGAGTGATTTGATCCAAACAAATTTTTGAATTATATAAGTAATAACAAAAAAATTATTAATTTATACAATTATGTGTAATTTGGTCTTTCGATTTAGATTCATAAAATAAATTATTCAAGATCTTGAAATTAAAAGAATGTTTAATTTTTACAATTGTGTATAATTTGATATTTTAATTTAGACTCATAAAATAAATTGTCAAGCTTCTCAAGTTTAAAAGAATGCAAAAACTTTTAACTTGCAATATAGTCAAGTGCAAATATATATGGGGTCGGTTAATCCCGTGTCAAGATTATTAGTTGCAAGTTTTCATTTAAAAAAAAAAATTTGGGACGATTAAGGGGATTAAGACTGGGAATTGTCAATACTTGAATTGTGAAGTTTTAAGTACCATGATTCTTCTCAAAAAAGTTGTGGCCGTTGGAGGCACAATGGTAGTCAGCGTTGCAATTTTCCATTTGGTTGTTGCAATGCTTGAAAAGGAAATTGAATTTTTGGCAATAGTGGAGGTCTTAACTAGGCTCTGAGAAAGGGACTGCATTAGATGATATATAATTCGTCAAATGATCGACATATGTCCATCATGGCATGGCTGCTGTATGATACATATATCTTCTAAAAGTTGATATAAAATTCATCGAATGATACCAACAACCTAAGTAATTTAGGGGTCACTCGCTGGAAGTAAGAAGTTTTGAGTTTAAATCACATAATATGCGGGTGAGATGGGATAAAAGATGAGAAATGATTGTCTATTTCATTGTACAACCAAGATAAAAAAAGTAAAAAAAAAAAATCGAATGATCAATATATATCCTTCATGGCATGGTTGCTATATATGTATAAAAGAATTTATTCATATAAAAAGGTCACATATTTTATTTATATAAAATTTTAATTATTAATCTCTTTAGTTTTAATAATTAAGATTTGTCACAACTTTTTAAAAGAAGAAAATAATTATATTTAAATAAAAATAATAAGAAATAAATAAATCTCAACTATTGAAAATGAAAAATTAAATTATCAAAATTTTATATAAATATAATACATAAAATTTATGTCTAAATAGATCCTATATATTTCTAAGAGTTGTGGGTCATGGCCGGAGAAATTAAGTCCATCCATTTGGATAATAGGTTGCTACTTCCACAAAGGCTGTTGCCGATGGATTAAGGGAGAAAGACACCAAGACCTTCTTGGCGCTTTTGATTGATGTATTAATCTTACTTTGTCTCTGCTTGAAGATTTTTCTAACCTTAATTTATTTAGTTTTAATGCCAACAACCCCAACTATAAATATTGGACAAATAAGACCATATATGCCAGCCACCATGGAGAACATTTAATTTCCAAACCCTCCTACTATTGCTAATGTATAGTTAATTATCATTTTTCTAAAGGCCAAAAAAATATATTATATTTCTTTATATAAATATATGTATATATTTGAGTGAGTTTACAATTACAGGGTGGATGTTCAAATCCCAACCCTTGAACCGGAAGGATGCACCTTATTAGATGGTTTATAGCCATTGGGTTGCAAGGCCTAAGTGCATTGTATTTCTTTATTTCTTGGGGCTTAATAATAAATATATAATTTAAAATTAATTATGCTTGTCTAAAACTATAAAGATACGGACCTAAAAAGTAAAGGAAAAATTGTTTTATGGTATATCCACTAAATTTTTTTCTCATTGTTTAGTTAAGACTCAATTTGTAATCTTATATAAACAAAAATGTTCTAATAAAATTTATTATAAGTGTATTAGGAATTTTTTTAATGTCTTAAATACCTTTTTTCAGATGTAATGGTTAAAATATTAAATTTTTATTAATATTAGTTAAATAAACTACCAAAAATTAAAAAGTAACAGTCAAAACCTTCTCTACACAATTTTTTCAATATACTTTTCATCATTATAAATGAACATATTTTGTTCAATTTCAACCCACTCGATATTTAAAATAAGTTTTTTTGATTAATAATACTTAACATAAAACCTGAAGATGAGAGAGAGAGGTAGAGAGAGAGAGAGAAGGAACCGAGGCGAACATCGTTCAAGGGCTAGACAGTCGGCATTGAGCGGGGAGCAGGGCGGATCTCGGCGAAGAAGCTACCAAAGGAACAGGGAACCGAGAATTTGGGGGAAAACAAATGATGATCAGTACCAAGGTCGAAAAATGCAGAGAGACAGGCCTTATAACTGGGGTCTTTATAAACAAGCAACAACATTTTTCTTTACCAATGTTCCAGATGATTGGAGCTATGAAGAAATGTGGAGCACGTTCTTGAAATTTGGCCGAGTTTATGACATATATTCTCCAAATAGAAGAAGTAGGAATGGAAGTAGATTTGGCTTTGTGAGATTTCTAGGGGTGACAGACAAGAAGGAACTGGAAAGAAAGCTGGATCAAATTCGGGTAAGAGACCAGAAATTGTGGGTGAATATTCCCAGGTATGAAGTTGAGAAGCAAGAAGGTGGGGAGAAAAGAATAAGACCTGGTATGCTGACCGGAGATCAGAATAGAAGGAATAGAAGTTATGCGGAGGTGGTGAAAGGAACGCAAGAGAAGGTACTAGTAAGGGATCAGAGCACTCACAGCATGGTGGGCCGAGACAATAGTAGAAGAAATGACAAAGAAAGTAAGAAGTATGCAGAGCAAGACAAGCAAAGGAAAAACAGAGATAGTAGTAGACACCAACCCCGGCAAACCGCAAATAGGAAAGTGTGGAAAGAAAGAGGAAGGGGAGTGAAATGGGCAGGTATGGAGTTCAATGTAAAACCTGAAGAGTATGCTTGGCTCGATGGCAGCTATGTGGGTATAGTGCATTCCGTGGAATTGGTATGCAATTTACAAGAAAAATTTTATATGGAGGGGTATTTTTCTTGTCGAATTCGTGCAATGGGAGGCAAAAGGGTACTGTTAACAGGTCAAGACAAGGAGGAAGTGAAAGACTTAGTCGAAATGGCTGCAGATTGGCTAAGGCAATGGTTTGAAGAGGTGAGGCCGTGGACACCACAGATGACAGCAAAAGAGAGATTTGTATGGCTAAGGTGTCAAGGGGCACCAGTGAATGTCTGGGGAAGTGATTTCTTCTCAACTATGGGCCGGTCATGGGGTAGCTTTATTTGCTTGGATGACAGTACAAGCAAGAAGGAAAGGTTCGACATTGCAAGATTTTTGATTTCTACCCCAATAATGGAGACAATTTCAGTTACAAGAGAAGTCAAAATCAATGGAATCATCTTCAAGCTGAAATTTACAGAAGAAGAAGCCACCAATTGTTTTTTCTCCTTGAAGAATGATTTTATTCCCTCTTTTAATAGTGAGTCCGAAGATCGGGAATCTTGGTCTTCCGGATCAGAGCCGGAGCTGTTGGCTGAGGAAGATGAAATGAGGAACGTGGAGGATCAATTCGGGTGTCCTGCGGAAGAAGATGATGACGCAAGAAGTCGTAGGAAAGAGGAAGAAAAGACCAAGTCAATTCAAATCAGCAAGGGAAATGGGGGAGGTGCAGAAGCCGTTGGTGACAACATGGATGAGATTCAAAATTCAAATGCAAGTGAAAGAAGCAGGCAGCCAGATGGCGTGCCTACAGGACTAAAGGAGCAGGCCCCGTTTTCGAAAATTGGAGAAAAAGAAAGTGAAGATATTAATCTCAATATGAAGCCCAAAGATCAGACAATGGCAAGGCCCACCCCGCAGAAGGAAAGCCCAATGGCAGCGGAGTCCACAAACGTGGAAGTGGCCCAAGTTGAAACTTTAAAGGAGGCCATAATCTCATCCCAGATCAGGGACCTTTCTGGAAGTGGAGAACCCGTAGAAGAAAAGGGCAATGGTGAAGAAGATGCCTTCTGGAAGGGACATGAATCAGAGAGAAGCCGAATAGAAGTATGGATCGGCAAACAACTAGAGGAAATCAACTCAAGAAACCGCAGAAGGAAGGTCCGACGGTGTAGTTCGGTGTATGGTCATCCCAGATTCAGTGAGGCAACGGCAGGAAGAAAGAGAGGAAGAAAGAAGATGAACCCGCAGCAGAGGGAGGAGAGACCAGCTCCAATCTTCACGTCGAACCAGGATGGAAAGGTGGCTGGTGACTCGGTAGGGGACAGTGATATTCATAATGCTAACAGAGCATTGAAGAAACAGTGGCAAACCCATCTCGCAAAGGAGATATGGGACTTGGCGTCGCAGCTCGGAGCAGTGGCAGATAACGACAACGAGGTGATTCAGCGTCTAGAGGAGATGGAGGTTAGAGATCGAAGTGCAAAAAGGAGTATGGTGAACCGAGAGGAAGAAGGATGCAGGAAGGTATGTGAAGCACCCAATGATAATTATGTCATTTAATGTTAGGGGGCTTGGAGGGGTAGGGAAGAAATCTCAGATTAGGGAGTTAGTTATCAAAGAGAAAATTCAATTTTTAGCTTTACAAGAAACCAAGATGGGTACAGTTGATAGGAAGATATGTAGAAATTTATGGGGATCTGATGATATGGATTGGGTTGCAAAGCCGTCTACTGGCATGTCTGGAGGTCTGATTTGTGTCTGGGATTCAAAAATGTTGAAGAGGAAAGAGACTATAGAAGGGGATAATTTTATATGGGTATTTGGTTTGTGGGGATCGGAGGAGATTCCAGTATTCATTTTAAATATTTATTCACCGTGTCACCTTTCAAGCAAAAGAGCCTTATGGGGGGAGCTGCATAGTCTAATTATCAACAGAAAGGGATTATGGTGCTTGGCGGGGGATTTTAATGCAGTAAGGAGGGTTGAGGAAAGAGCTGGATGTAAGGTGGTGTCAAACGAAATGAGGGAGTTCGATGCTTTCATCCACAATTCTGAGTTGTTTGACTTGCCGTTGATAGGGAGAAAATACACTTGGTATAACTCAAATGGGCAACAAATGAGCAGAATTGATAGATTCCAGTTTTCTAAAGAATGGATGTCAAAGTGGAGCGAAATGAAACAGTGGGGTTTGACGAGGTCTATATCGGATCACTGCCCTATTTTGATAAAAAATGAGCTGGTCGACTGGGGTCCAAAACCGTTCAGATTTTTTGATGCTTGGTTGGATCAACCTGGATGTAAGGAAGCGATTACAAGTGTATGGAATGACAGAGAAATGAAGGGCTGGAATGGATTTAAACTCAAAGAAAAGCTGAAAAAAACAAAGAAGGCACTAAAGGAGTGGAGTGGCAAAACCAACAGGGAGATGGACGGAAAAATAAAGGAAGCAGAACTTGTGATTGCAGCAATTGATGAGAAAGGAGAGCAGCACCAGTTGTTGGATAACGATATTGAATTGAGAAGGAACAGTTTTATTGAACTGTGGAAGAATTTAAAGATCAAGGAAAGGATGAGTCAACAAAAATCAAGAAAGCAGTGGCTAAAGGAAGGTGACGCGAATTCAAAATTCTTCCATAGAAGCATCAAGGGAAGATGGCGTAGAAATGAAATCAACAGTATCCGGATAAATGGGGAGCAGTATACCGGAGTGGAGGTAATGAAGCGAGAGATTGCTAAGTACTTCCAAGACTTGTTTACAGAAGAAAGTTGGAGGAGACCAAAGCTTGATGGAATTTGCTTTAGGCAAATCACACAAACTGATAATGAGCTCCTCACTTCCACTTTTTCGGAACAGGAAATTAAAGAAGCAATTTGGAATTGTGATCCATCCAGATCCCCAGGACCAGATGGTTTCAACTTCCGATTTATCATGACAATGTGGGAGGTTATTAAAGAAGACATAATCAACTTTGTTCGGGAATTCCATCAACATGGCCGGCTGGTCAGGGGGTCAAATGCTTCTTTCATTGTGTTAATTCCAAAAACAGATAATCCACAAGCAATTGAGGAATTCAGACCCATTTCGCTAATAGGAGTCACTTATAAGATCATTGCAAAACTATTAGCGAATCGATTACGGAAGGTATTACCAAAGGTGATTGGGGAGCAGCAGATGGCTTTTATTGAAGGAAGGCAGTTAGTGGAAGGGGTAGTGATCGCAAATGAGATTCTCGACGAAGTCAAGAGGAAAAAGAAGAAGGGATTCCTATTTAAACCCGACTTCAAGAAAGCCTACGACAAAGTAAGCTGGGAATTTATAGACTACATGATGATGAGGATGGGATTTTGTGCAACTTGGAGGAAATGGATTCAGGAGTGTTTGAATTCGAGTTTGGTCTCTATTCTAGTCAATGGCAGTCCAACGAATCAATTCCCGGTTTACAAAGGCATCCGTCAAGGAGATCCTTTATCCCCTTTCCTATTCTTGATAGTCGCAGAGGGGCTGAATGGACTAATGTCATCGGCTGTGGAGAAAGAGAGGTACAAAGGAGTGGGCATTGGGAGTGGAGATGCGATGGTCACACACCTTCAATTCGCGGATGACACAATTTTCTTTGGGGAGGCAACGGAAGACAATATTATGGTGATTAAGTGCATTATGAGGACATTCGAGTTAGTCTCGGGGTTGAAGATTAACTTTAGAAAGAGCCAGTTGATTGGGGTGGGAGTTGATCAAAATTGGAGGGCTAAAATGGCATACCAATTGTGTTGCAAGGAAGGGAAACTGCCATTCAAGTATTTGGGAATTCCAATTGGCGGGAATCATAGAAGAAAAGCCATGTGGCAGCCTATGGTGGAGTCTGTTAGAAAGAAGCTAGCCAGCTGGAAGGGGAGGTATCTGTCGATGGGTGGCCGCATCACGCTCATCAACTCAGTGCTGTCAAGCCTCCCGGTGTTCTTGATGTCTGTCTATGTTATCCCAAAATGTATAATTCATTCTATTGACAAACTGCGTAAAAGCTTTTTATGGGGAAGGAAGGGAGATGAGAGAAAAATAAATTGGATTAGCTGGGACACAGTATGTAAAAAGAAAGAGGAAGGAGGATTATGAGTGAGGGACTTAAGGAAATTCAATTTGGCATTGATGGGAAAGTGGTGGGGTCGGCTTGCTGAAAATGGGGAGAGCATGTGGAAAGAAATAATTGTAGAGAAGTATGGTAATGGAGGGGGTCATTGGCAAGATTGGATTGCTGAAAATAGAGGAATAGGATCAACTTGGTGGAGATATGTGTGTGATTTAAACTTAATAAATGGGGGTTGCTATGGTTGGTTAAAAGAGGGTTTCAAGGTTATCATTGGGGAGGGTAATTCAGTTAGTTTCTGGTGGGATAAATGGAGGGGAGAGGAGTGTCTTGCTAATATGTTTCCAAGACTGTACCTGCTATCTACAGAAAAGATGAAGATGTGCTGTGAAATGGGAAGGAGAACCAACGGGTCTTGGGAGTGGAATTTATCTTGGAGGAGGAACTTGTTTGAATGGGAAAAGGAAGAGGCAATGGAATTACACAACAAAATCCAAAACGTGCAGATCCATCAAGGATGCAGGGATACCTGGGAATGGGCTCACAGCAAGGATGGTATATACTCAACAAGTTCAGCATATGCAATATTAACCAAAGAGGAGAGGGAAGCAACTGAAACTACTACCTTCACAAGAATTTGGAACTCTATACTGCCAAGT